ATCTAGAGTATGCAGACGACATTGTGCTACTAAGTGAGGATGCAGGTAAGTTGCAAGCTTTTCTGGATAGTTTGAGTGCTAATGTAGCCATGTTCGGTATGCGTTTTGCACCTTCAGAGTGGAAAATGTTACTACAAGACTGTGTTGGTCCAGCACCCAGCCTCACTCTAACTGGGGAAGTAGAGCAGGTGGATAAGTTTTGTTATTTGGGTAGCTACATCTCACTCGGTGGAGGCATCACGGATGAAGTGTCAGCTCGCATAGAGAAGGCTCGATTGGCATTTGCCAACTTGAGACATCTGTGCGCCGTCGTGGCATCCGGTTGTCTGTAAAGGGTCGAGTGTATGCTGCAGCAGTTCAACCAGTCGGATGCAGGTAAGTTGCAAGCTTTTCTGGATAGTTTGAGTGCTAATGTAGCCATGTTCGGTATGCGTTTTGCACCTTCAGAGTGGAAAATGTTACTACAAGACTGTGTTGGTCCAGCACCCAGCCTCACTCTAACTGGGGAAGTAGAGCAGGTGGATAAGTTTTGTTATTTGGGTAGCTACATCTCACTCGGTGGAGGCATCACGGATGAAGTGTCAGCTCGCATAGAGAAGGCTCGATTGGCATTTGCCAACTTGAGACATCTGTGCGCCGTCGTGGCATCCGGTTGTCTGTAAAGGGTCGAGTGTATGCTGCAGCAGTTCAACCAGTCCTGCTCTACGGTGCAGAGACTCGGCCACTAAAGGAACAGGATAAAAATAGATTGTCGGTCTTGGAACACCGCTGTCTACGTAGCATTGCACGTGTCTGGTGGGGTATCCGGACTAGCAATGCTGAGGTTAGGCGTAGAGTTTTAGGCAGTCGCGGTCGTCCACTGGAACAAGTGATCGACCTCCATAGATTACGCTGGTTGGGACATGTGCTACGCATGTCACCAGATAGTTTGCCATGGCGAACGATGTTTGCCAAGGCTGGTAGCGATTGGAAAAAAACAAAGGGCGGTCAAGCTAAGACCTGGCACGAGGGTATGAAAACCCTAACAAGGAGACTAGGTCACATAGGCCCCTTTAGGCTCCCTGGCTGGGGACCTCGGGATGATGGTCACCGATGGTTAGAGACACTGAGTGATATGGTCGGGTGTCGCAAACGGTGGCGCTCGTGCATCCACTCGTTATTTTTCTAACACCACTCTATATGTATTCCCCATCTTCCGCTTGAATTTGCTTCGACATTCCAATCTTCATTTCGCTCTTTTATCCAAATGGGCAACCAAAACCGGCGCACGAAGGTGCATGGTTAATGGTTGTAAAACTGAAACTGAAACTTATTACTTTTTGACATAATCATGCCTTAGTGTCTGGATAGCACATTACGACTTAGAATTAATCCTGGAACAGCCCGGATTAGACTTTCAGCTTTCAAGTGTGCTATCGATGTTCGTCAAGCCGCAACTAGCTTAAAAATTTCTTTCACATTGATTCCTGTAAAACATTGACTGAAAAAAGAATAGTCCCTTTAAAGTAACGTCTCTCATCAACTGTGTGTGTCACGGTTTGAAATCAACTTGCGAATGAATCTTCTAATTGGCCCAGTTAAATATGTTATAAATGAACGACAAATTCTTTCTCCATTACTACTCGAAGATTCGATGAGATCAGAATGCTCTTCGTATTGTTTATCGGTCCACTAACAGTTACATTATTGAGCTGATAAAAAGGGGATTAGTGCAAATCCCATCGGTTGTACAAGAGAAATCCCTTCCATCTTCAAACGTGTTATAACACCAAATCAGGAAATCGGCTTGACCAGTCCATTCGAAAGAGGTCAACTTAATGCACCTGTTTGACTGGCAACCCCAAATGAATGAACCACGGGCTTTATGGTTACGAGGGGGGGGGCACCCAAAGTCCGTATCGCATCAGAACCATGAGTATCTAAATGTCAACTAAAACTATCCAATGTATTCCCTCATCTCTTCAAAAAATGTCTCCTTCCGTTCCGATTTTTATCCTTCTAGCCTCAAATACTTCCTCCAACTCTAGTCGATCAGATTCGTCTTTGGGAGCTGGAGCGTGATCGATTTGTTTTTCAAGAAGGATGTCTCTACGAACAGTTTTCGAAGAGCACAGATTTCGAAATGGTTCGAGACTATGCTAAGGTACAGGTTTCTCTCTATCTCCACATTTTGGTGCTTTTGTATTGTTTACGGAATCAGGCTGGAGGAATTGTGAGAACCACAATCAGTTCGGACTACACTGTATACTCATTCAACACCCTTGAAGTACCCACAAGGTTCAGCTTCAAGCATGTTCCCTCATTTTTGTCGCCTTTTATTTCCCACAACTGTATCTCACCCTTGGCATTGTATAGGCAACTGTTTTAGAAATATGTCTCACAAATGTACTCTCCATCTACGGATTGAATAGTGAACCATCGAAGAGGATGAACAACTATTGATCCGTTGAATGCTCTCCGCAAATCATTCCCATTCAGACCATAAAAATATCTAATTTGAGATCAACTTTAGGTTTTTCTTAATTGTTTATTCTTTTCGTGTCGTGTTACATTCAGGCATTGTAAGGGTTAAACGAATTGCCGATTTGATCGATACCAATGATAGAAATATGCAAGCACAGTTAGATTACGCACTCTGTGTGAACGATAGAGGTTCACCCCCTCTGAAAAGTGCATCCATTCCCTGTCCATGGATGTATGTTCTGAAATCAATGGAGTTCGTTTCTTTAGTTATCAGTTCTTTCGTAACTACTTCACAACACTCATTCTTAGCTAAATATTACTGTTTAGTGTTCTGTTGATTACCCCGTTTTCGGTAGATTTCTGAGCTGAAGTCTACACTTCCCAAGCTGTTGTTTTTGTCTAAAGATCTGTTCTACTTGAACTTTTGTTTAAGACCAAATCGCCTTGTTGTTCTTTCATTCCTAAAGAGTATTGGAGCGCTACTTTGGGAGAACCCGGAACGCCGCCTCATGGTGGTCTCGCGAAACGGTCATGAGGATGTTCGCAAATTTTGGAAACAGAAACGACCGTCCTAATTTGTTGTACAGTGTTCACCAATGATTTTGTACAAAATAAATCCACTTCAATAACATTCGGTCACACTCGTTCAAGATATGGACTTTGTTAAATGCTCAATTTTATCGCTGATACCGAACGCAGGAAATGCGACCGTTTTAGTACATTTGTTCGCATCATTCTTAGGAATAAACAATGAGCGATTCAAATTCTACTCCACTTGTGTCCTAATTCACGTTTAAAACGAATCCCTTTGTGACCGGTTTTGAATCCAGCACTGTAGTTAACGAAACTGATCAAGGTGGACAAGAAAAGTTTGCAATAGAAAATAGCATACAAATTGTCAAAGATTTAAGTTTAATAATGTAGAAGTTCGATCATATTTTTCTTTTAGTTAGCCGTCGCGGGTAGTTGTGGTGTCTACGCCATGAATCCACAAAGAACCGCCTAACGTGAGGTTCGTGACAAGCGATGTCGTGGTACAAAGTGATATAGACTAACATTCTACAATGGTGTGCTCCATATATTCCATTGGATCTTACGTTTTGGCCGCACGAATTGCCTGCGATGGGTTTACGCGCGTATGTATGTTCGAGATCTGTGGGACCGTGGACGATATCTGCTGTTCGACGCGTAAAAGATCGGAAACTGTTAATTTCTCAAACTGGAACTGCTTTTTCTCGGTACTGTTGTGTTTTACTTGATGCCATATTTCCACAACGGAAAAGTAAATATATCCTCTAAACTGACAACCCGTTCTCGAGCGCTCACCATTGCAGCATTTTTCAAACAACATTAAGATTTGGGTGATATTTTAGATAGTTTTCGGCTATAGCTCCAAATGTGGTATGGTTATTTTTCCGCTGCGACCAAACAAAACTTTACGAAATAGTTTTATGCAATCTAATTCTAGTTTTCATTGATAGAGAATAAATAGATATCCGCGGCGTAAATTAAAAATGCAGTCTTCTCACATCTGTCGGAATTTTCCCTGAATAAGCCACCCTAGCAGAAACGATTACTTCTACTGACTGGATGCTTAATGCCTCGCTGACTATTGGTGGTGGATGAAGCAGAATAATACTGTGCGCAAAACACGTTTCCTTAGATTAATGATATTGCTGACCTTACGTTGATTGTCGAACAACTTGTTCATAGAGGTGTCAATCAAGATACAGTATTCCCTCATGTATGGTATTTAGGTTCGTTCGCTCATATCGAGTATCGGTGATTCTTGTCGCCCAGAAAAACTTGTAGTCGCGGGCCAGCGCCTGGAGGAATACATTCCCTATGAAATCAATCAATCATGGTAGTGGATGAATCGGGAACGGACGAAGTTAGGAGTATGATACTCAGCTTGTATTGTTTCTCAATATCACCTTTATTGGTTGACGTCTTTTGAACCAATCAGATCATCTGAAAACACAGAGAATTTGAAGCATTGGGCTCCCTTATCCATTTCATCAATACGGAAAGAAAATAAATGTCTACGGGATGTTAACATTCTGTGTAATATTCTCAGTCGCTTACTTAAAACAAACAAGCAGATATATAGCGCATGGGGTTGTTCGATTATGGTGAATGAACGTGTACATGCATAAGATCACTAAACATAGAAGTAGAAGGTCAATCCACGGTAAGTGGATTGATTGTAACAAAAACGATTGTGCGCGTAAGGTCGGGTGATGTAATCGAGTAAGCAGCGCTTTATTAATGGCCCAGAGTTTAGCAATGCGATTACGTAAAAGTGGTTTAAAAGACGAATTGGGGTCAACTGTGTGTCTTGTTGTCGTGAGATATTTTGCAGCACATGACTGGACTTTTTGTAATCATTTGACCATCAATTATCGGTTGTCATCGATTTAACCAACCACTTTGGAATGTTTTTGCCCGTTCGTTGCGAGAGCTGGCGGTTTGTTCTGCCCATGTATGTGTCACCGCAATTGCAGGTGAACTGGTATAGAGTATGAGGAAAACGGATTATCAATCATGGTTACGTTTATGTAGACCAATTCCACGATGCGTATCGGCGAACCGAATTCAGGATCCAACTACCATAAACTACTTGGGTGTACTGGGTTTGTCCTCGAAGTATGCCCCTCAAACATCAGGAGACAATGAAGCCTGCTCACTGGGTCGGCGTTGTGTAGGAATCGTATCAAACGATAAAGCAGAGGCCCACTTAATAGATTGGATACCCCTCAACAGTCGCTTATGTGCAATACGTCTCCAGGGTTCAAACAGCATCCGGAAAAGAAACAACACCAAAAGGTTTGTTCATTCTATCGACAGATGTACAGACCAACTGCAGCTCTGATGCACAAAAGGACGCATTTTACGACCAGCTCATTCGATTGAGACGCAGCTCTGACAGTGTTGGCAAGTGACTTTAACGCGCAGGTTGGAGAACTCAGCTCATCCGAAGCATGTCTAGGGAGGGCTTCGCTTTTCCTGCGCAGAGAACAGACATCCTTGATCAACTATTTCACTTTCTGGGTATGCCACCAGCTTTCGATGCAGCTCTCGTCGGACAGCTACATGACGTTTTAATTCAACGGGCAATTTGAACCAAATTGACCAAATAGCAGTAAGCTTCCTTTGACGGAGTTCAGTACAAAATTGCAGATTCTATCTACCTGCGTTGAGTCTGCTCACGCATTAGCTCTAATTGGCTTAATGTTTCAAATCATCGGTCACCGGAAAAACAACTTCCTCACTTAGCTCATCATCGTCTGCCCCAACCTTCTCTTTGTGCACGCTATGAGCTTGGACAATCGCTAGGGGAACCATGAGGTGGTGGAGTTGATCAACAGTGGGGTCAAATAATATTTAATATACACTCGGCAGGAAACATTTTTTGTGCAGCGGATCCTGAAGTTCGCCGAAGACATTGGATCCCTTGGGAGTGAGTCATCCTAATGGATCCCAATCTACCAGGATCAACTGGTGCCTTCTGCAACATCAGCTCGGAAAAAGCCTGATAAAATATCGTAAAAACTGGTGGGCCAAAATAGCTAGTGAAATCAAAGTGGATTCGACATCAGTAAATAGTCAAAAATTCTTTCACTTGTTTTGCAATCTCGATGGTCGTCGCATACCGGGCAGTGGAACCATTTGTGATAAAAATGGGAGGGTATCCAAAATGAGGAATAGCGACCTGTTGGCTCTGCAGAGGATTTCGGAGATCAGTTCGAATGGTTTGGTGCTTGTGCGGCTATTCGGCAGAGACTCCTTGGGCGTTAACATGTGAGCCTCCAACAGAACTAGGAGAACGAAGCCGCACCCAAGGGAATGCAGCAGGACTTAATCGGCTTTTCCCCCTTTTTGGGTTAGGTGGCTCTCTTACCGACATGATTGCTAGTATATTTCGCACCATTTGGTCGGAGAAGCGCAGTCCCTTATCCCGAGTGAATCGTTGATCGTCCCGATCATCAAAAAGGGAACAAGCATCAAATTTGGAAACCACTGTGGGATAAGTTTAGTTCTGATCAACACAGATGTTGACTAGTGCGATACTTCGCCTCCTGAAACCCTTAAAGGCGATAAATATCCGCAAACGGTAGTCAGGATTCCCACCAAGTCTCTTATGCGCCAACCAAATATTCATCCTGCGTGAAGTCCTTGAATAACGCTATATACATCGTCGGACATCAATTGGTCTCTGAAAGCCGCAGTATCGTCGACGAAAGGTGTCATGGATTGCGGCTGATCAGCCTTGTCTTGCACCTCGTGAAATGCTCCCATATC